AGTGGTGGATGGTGGGTGGTATGGTGGTGGTGGTGGTGATGGTGGTGATGGTGGTGGTCGTGGGGATGGTGGAGATGGTGGTGATGGTGGAGGTGGTGGTATTGGTGGTGATGGTGGCGATTATCACAGATACACCCAACAAGTAGTAGCAATTTTCATGTGTGTTATTATCCAATTTATTCCTGATAACAGCTCTCAGAGGGAGATATTGTCATTAACACTTATGAAAGTGAAAACTATCTGGGTGAGTTTATTTAAATTCCTCAGATTACATGGGATCTGCTGGCTCCACAGCCCGTACTAAGAGCGGTCATACTATTCTCAGCTCAGACTTGGTTAATCGCAGTGCTGACTGTGATTTGATGGCCTTCCTTCTCCCTCCATCAGGCAGAGGTGGCTCCTCTCCCTTCTACATTGCTGGGAGGGAACGAGCTTCTACAATCACGGAGGCAGGTGCTTATGCCCCGCCACCTCCTCCATGGCAGGTCCGGGCCCACAGTGCTCCGGGCCCACACCAGGACCCTCTCAGCCCACTCTCGCCACGTCACACCCCAACCCCCATGGTGAGGACTAGATCTTTGCTTCTTGGACTATTCCTGCCATCGTCTAGGCTGAAGCTGGAGAACTCCACACCTTCAGAGGCGGGTGACGTAAAAGAGCAAAGGGGGCAGGGTGAGCCACGCGGGCAGCGGTGGGGAAGGGGTCAACCCGAGAGGCCAAGCCCAGCTGGGGCACAGCGCCCCTGCAAGAGAAGAACACTCTGCCTCAAACATCTGTGGGCCAGAGGAGGCTGGGGCCTCATCTCATTACTACCGGAATTCTCCTACTGATCTGAATGTTTGTGGTGGACACAGTCCTTGGAAAGGAAAGGTTTCGTGACTGGCTGTGTCTTAGGTGGTTAATTCCCTTCCGCCCATATTCACGGGGAGGACAGGAAAGCATCAAGTCTCCTTTTCTGATGGGTCAAAGAAACTGAGGCCCAGAGCAGGGAACAGCTGCCTCCAGGGACACTCTGACTGATGACACTAAGAGCAGAAGGACAGCCCTTTGCCTGAGGTCCTTGTGAGCCTCCGAGCATCTTAAGAAGGAGACCAAATCATCATCTTTACACCCACCCTACTAGATACCACGGCGTCTTAGCTGTGTGACGTATTATTAAGCTTAAAACTGAGAAGTCAAAAATAAGAAACCAGGGGAACGGGAACAAAGGTAACTTTGAATTTCTTACATCTGCCTTGTTCTGAAGGCTCTTCTGCCTTCTGCGTGAGTCTTCTACATCAGACTCTCCAGATTAAAATGTGAAGGATGCAATATGTGGTTAATAACCAGCTAAGAGGCTCTGGGCAGACATACAATAACACAGCAGCTATGCTTTCTGGAATGATCTCTTTATGCCGACACCTTGCTGAGTCTACGCGCCACGATCAATTCCATCCAGCCCCACACTCCACATGTTTTGCACCCGCCCGACCGACCCCAGGCTAGAGAAGTAAAGTGACCTTTCCCTGGTCACCTGGCAGAGCCAGGACAAAAAGCAACTCTCTGCTCTGGAGTCCCTGAGAAAATCCAATTCCAGCATACCTGTAGACGTACTTCGATTTTAAATTGGTTAGGTAAACATTTTACTGCCCTTTACATACTTTTCTTGCAAAGCAGAGAGCCTTATGCTCCAAGGCCTGGCCCGTGGGTTCCGATGGGTCTCTAGACTCCCGCATGAGGAGCCACCACTACAGGCAGAACCCACAGACCCCGGGGGCTTGACGGCTGGACAAGGACTGGGCCTTTTGACCTGTGGCCCAGACAGTGTTTAGAGGAAGCAGGTTGAAATACGGAAAATCCATCAGGATGACTCATGATTTCCTGTCTTTGGAAGGCCGCCTACTGGGAAGAACAGAACAACATGTGAGAAGTTGTGGAGTGTTTGAAGCATCTGTCCTGTCATTTAGTTCTCTCCAAATGCCAGGAGTAGTTTCCTCATCTGTGAGAGCCCCTTAAGTACTCTTGCGGGTTCCAGGTAGGCAAACGTTTTCTTAAAGGACCGAAGAGGTGGTAATTTGGGCTTTGCAGGCAGTGTGGTCTGGGTCACAACCGCGCCCCTCTGCCACCGCAGCACCGAAGCAGCCACAGACAAGCAAGCAAATGGGCATGATATCATTTTTTTTTTTGAGACAGAGTCTCACTCTGTTGCCCAGGCTAGAGTGAGTGCCGTGGCATCAGCCTTGCTCACAGCAACGTCAAACTCCTGGGCTCAATCAATACTCTTGCCTCACCCTCTTGAGTAGCTTGGACTACAGGCATGCAACACCATGCCTGGCTGCTAATTTTTTCTATATATTTTTAGTTGTCCAATTAATTTCTTTCTATTTCTTTTAGTAGAGACGGGGTCTCGCTCTTGCTCAGGCTGGTTTCAAACTCCTGACCTTGAGCGATCTGCCTGCCTCGGCCTTACATAGAGTGCTA